CACATGCACACTTCACAAGATCTCACAACTGGATCCGACTAAGTTTGCAAGGTTTGTGAAATTAAATGTTCATTAGTCATTCAAAGATTTGTTTAAATTATATAAATGCGTATTTGCTGAATGCTGACGGCAAATGAGAAATTATTATAATGGTTGCCTTTCTATTACTAATAATATTAAAGCAATCATTATAATACTTTTTTGTATACATTTTAATTCCTTTGTTTAACAGTTCTATCTGATTATTAGACAGACTTCTATCCGTATTAGACAGAACTGAACGACGACAGCGAACAAGAGGGAGAATGTGAGCGGTGTGTGCTCAGGCGCTGCCGTCAAAATAAAAGTCCCGCCTTGAACACATCGGCCAAACAGAAAAACGTATCTGCCGATATTTGAAAAATGCGAAATATGTATGATTAATATATTAATTAATATATGTACGATATATATGGCGATATATCGGTCGACCACTAACACAAAAGAAGATGTTTTGGAGAATGTTGAGGTCCAAATTATGTTGCATCCTACTGGCTTTCATTGTATAGACAAAGACATTTTTCAAAATATCTTCTATCTCTTGCACAGAAGAAAGAAAGCCACAGTTTTGCATATGACATGAGGGTGAGTAAATAATGACCGCATTTTCATTTTTGGATTAAATATCCCTTTACATTTAGTCAGTGGGGCATTTTTTTTCAGGAGATCCTCCAAAACTGACACCAAATGATTTGAAATACCTTTTTTTTTTAAACGTATTTATATAGCAAAAAATAATTTGACCTCTTAATTACCTATTAAATTACCCATTTTACCTATTAATACATTTTTTGATCCCATTGAACATCTTGAGAATGTCGCATTATGAAAGCAGATTTCATTGCACGTATCCTTTGATGTTGACTTTAAATTCAGATATCACACTGGTTTGCAATTCCCAACTCTATTATTTATCAGTTTCTTTTCTGCTTGTTGTTCATTTGAAGTAAAGCTGAAGCATGTGTCAATAAGAGAAAGACGGGAAGAGACAAGAAATGTGTTTTGGATTTCCACATTTCCTCAGGATGCCTTGTTCTCTGGCGAGTTGAAAGGCCTATTTAGTCTCTCGGCTCTCTTCCTCTCAGAATCTGCATTAGTCTCCAAGTCTTCTATCAGCTCTGAGACAAATCATAAAATCACTACCTGGCTCTTTTGTGGGCTACTTGCTCTGCTTCCCTTCATCTCGCCTCAAGAGTTTGGACCAAAGAAGCCTGAAAGCAACCTGAGTGGAAACAGATCTGCTAAGAGTGGACTAAGATGTAAAATAATGCGGTTGATGAGGTATTGTTTGGATTTTCAACACCCGCTCATGATTAGAATTTGATCTTAAAGTGCTCTGCGGATCCTCATTATGGAGAAATTCTCTCCTAGATCCGCCGCCTCGTTGAAATATTTGAGGAGCCTTGCGGACTTCTTAAAGTGGTTCAGTTTGTGATTAGAAATGAGAGCTTTCAGACATTTAGGAGTCTTTAGCCTTTACCTGGATTCATTTGTCCTGATTGCTGCAGTCTTTGAAGAAACTTACATGAACTTACAGTGAAGTTTTAACTGCTGATTCAGTATATATAAAAAAAACCCTCCCAGACTTCAGTAATTGGACTGGCACTGCACACTTTACCTTGTGAAATTAGAGTTGAATGTAGCAGTATGAAACTGCTCATTAAAACACTCTCTTCAATGACACCTGTGACCATGTGCACCAGACACTGGTCATTATTTCCAGGTTTTCTCTTCACGCACAATTCTTCGGCTGTCGGGAAGGATGCGTGCATCATCACATTTCTTCTCCGTCCTTTCATTATGTTCTGTCAAATCACTGTTCGTTAAAGCCTTTTGGGGGAGAAACCGTAAAAAAAATTATGTTATGGAAAAGAACAAAGAATGCTGTGGGAAAACCAAATCGACAGGGTTCAACACAAGTTTTAAATGAGTTTGTACATAGCCTGGTTCACTTTTTGGTGAGATGTGTAATGCTTTTTACTGGAGTCCCAGAGATTTGATAAGGAGTATTTTAAGAGCAAGTGAGCGCAGCGGCGCCTTCATCTGTCTTGCAGTGAGCGCTACTGTTCAGCTTCCACACAGACACTTGAATAGCGCACATCTCTCTTGGTTAACATTAGATTGAGCAGCCATG